GGGGGAAATAGCAGCCTCTCCAGTTGCTGCCTTGCTGGCCGCTGCTCGCTGCTCGGGGGGGGAGGTAAATAGCCGGCACGGCACCTCTTCAACACGAGTGTGCCGTGCTACAAAGCCATAGACACTTTGTGGCGAATGTGTTATAAGGTTGCTTACGCACGCGCATGGCCTGACAGGCACCTGGGTTTAAACCCTAGCAGTAGCAAAACTCCCGGATCTTGATAATATAAATTCGGGAGCGGGGCGGGGCGGGGCAGCGTGGCGCGCGCACATGCGTGCGGCGGCCTTGGCCTTGGCGCCGCGCTCGTGATGGCGCCTCCCTTTTTCTCCACGTGTCACCTGCAGCGGGCGCCACTTTTTCTTTCTCCTCGTGATGGCGCCTCCCTTTTTCGCCACGTGTCACCTGCAGCGGGCGCCACTTTTTCTCCCATGTTTTCGCTGTAGATCATCCGAAAAACACCGAAGAAACCCGCTGTCGGGTTTGCTGTATTCCAGTTGTGCGGGGTGCTGGCAAGCTGTACGGGGTGGACGGTGGGAGCGGGGACCGTTGCCGCTCCGATACCAATGTAGCGGACCAGCCAGATGTGGTGCTTCGCTAGTGGTAGAGATGGAGATGGAGGAAGAAGGGGGGGAGCGAGATGGCACAACGCAGCTCCCCACGCAAGACTCCTACGCACGTATTCCAAAATGTGCACGTGAATAATGAGGATGAAACAGACAACTGCTGGGGTATACCCCAGCGGACTGACTGGACTGGACTGGACTGGACTTGATACCGACAGAGGTACCGGCCTGGACTGGACTGGAGTGGACCACCTCCGAATAGAACACAGGCCTTTAAGAACCGGCCAAAGGGCTGGTCTCACAGGCCAACCAGAGGTCCGCTACAGCCACTTTGCACAACACAAAGTGGATTCCTTAGGACAATACGTGTCTGACCAGGGTTGGGTCTCCACATGGACGACGCAAAGATCACTGCTATCGAGGAGTCGCCTGTCCCCACATCCGCCAAGAAGCTTCGCAGCTTCTTAGGCCTTACCAGCTACTTTAGTAATTTCTTCCAGGGATACGCTAGATATTCCTACGTCCTTACCTCTACCCTCCTCCAGAAGAACCCACCCTGGGCTTGGACACCCCTCCACGAGGACGCCTTCCGCACCCTAAAAAAGGCGGTGACATGCGCACCAGTTCTTTACCTACCCGATTTTGATCGCCCTTTTATCCTTACCACCGATGCGTCAGACTTTGCTATAGGAGCTGTGCTTTCTCAGATCTTCCCCTCCTGTCCTGATTCCTCTCATCCTCGTATCGCTCGCTTCCCACCACCTACCCCTACCACTGCTTCTCGACTGACGCCTACTGGTCCAGCTACTAACGAGCCTTCTATTGACTATTCTCCTACGATCGTCGAGGACGACACTGTCGAGTCTCACTCAGGTGATTGTCCGGTAGCCTTCTGCTCTCGTCAGCTCCTGGCCGCCGAGATAAACTACATCGTTGATAAACGTGAGGTTCTCGCAGTAGTTTATGCCGCTCGGCACTGGCGTTACTACCTGCAAGGAGCACCATTCACGGTACACACACACAATTTCGTTGTCCAGGTTTTTCTGACAAAATTGAAGTTCACTTCTCGACAGGTTTGCAGGTAGCGCAACCTATTCGAGTTTAGTTTCACCACTGAGCACATCAAGGGTGAGACTAATCGGGTCGCAAAT